TCTTGTAAATGGAAGTCACCATAAGTAAAAATGCAGAAGGCAATCATAGGTCAAAAATCAGGCACTAGGTATCTCCTACCTAGCCAAGTTTTAGAGTGAAGATATCAAGGGCAAGAGGAAGAAGTAATGTGAGTAAACAACAGTAATTAGATGATATTAAAATATTCATTCATTTATTCCACAAACATATCTTGAGCACCCCCCCTTTTTTTTTTGCTAGGAACTGGGAGTAAAATGGAAAACCAAATTTACTTTTTTCTCTTAAATTGCTCATAATCTAGTCTAGCAAGACAGGCATGCATGCAGTTAATGGTAAGACACAGTGGGAGTGCTGTGTTGCAGTGTTTTATCAAGAAAATAATGTGAAAAGTGTTTCTACACTGTGTTCTCACTATAACACATATTCTGTGCTCTTGGTCAGATTGTAAATGTAATAACACCTTCCCAGCAAGACATCTGCCATTTGACGCTGCCCAATCTTCATTTTTATTGTTATTATTATTATTTTTTTTAATCTTTCAAGTTTACTTTATTCCTAACATATCTATGTATTTCTGTATGTTTCAAGGCATGGTTATACATACAGAGTAATCAAATGTCTTAGCTTGTTACAATAAGTATTTTGAAAGGGATCAGATGGTCTACTATGACAGTGCCATGGCATAGGTGAACACTGGCTCTGATTTCACCTGTTGAGGTTACATAGCAAATGTGTAACAGCAAATGACATAACCACCACTCTCCCCTCACCTTCACTCCTTTGTTTGCTAAAGAAGTATGGTAGAACATGAGGTCACAAAGTTCTCCATAAAGAAGAAATCTGAAAGGGAAATGGCTTTGGATGACACACATTAAAGATACTTAACTCATTGGATGTAGATAACTGCCATATATAAATTTCAAATGATGAAAAAACCAAACCATTTCTTATAATACAAGCTTCTTTTCTGTCACAATTGCTTCACAATATATTCTTCAGAATTGCCTCCAGACATCAAGCAATGCTGTCACAACAAATACCTTGAATATCATATGGAATATTTCATTTAGTGGGGAACAGTAGATGTGAAAATTATATATACAGAAATTTACCATTTAGAAATCTTCCTGTGAAAAACTCTCCCCTGATAAGAAAAAGATTAAATGTGTCTGTTTCTCTTCTTAATGAATTAAAAAAACCTAAGGATAAACAAAGATGGGGCAGAAGCAATAGGGTATTTTTTCATGTCTTGGATAACCAGAATTAAGGTACGGTCTTGCTTCTTACATTAAATACTGAGTTGGTCATTATAAAAGTGTCCACAACCATTTAATGTTGTCAACTTAAGCAGACAATTCATAGGGGAAATGTGACATCTCCCTACTAATCCTAACAAAGTTACCAACAGCTTACCAATAATATATTTCTTAAAGCAGATAGAAAAAAAGGAAAAATAAACCATCGTCAGGTAGTAGGAATGATAGAAAATATACAATCAGAATCAACAGGCTTTTCCACAGCTAAAAAACACAGACACAGAGAAAACCTGAAAGAAATAGGTGACTTCAACACGTTCCAATTGTGCCCCCTTGTTTATTGTCATTTGTAGTAGAGAGGGTAAATTAGTTTTTTCTTTGTCAGCTTAAGCTCTCCCATCCACTGTTTTTTATTGTTTAGTTTTAGAAGTAATATTTGCCCTTTTTTTTCTGTGGGATGTTTACAGAACATTGAAAAAAAAAAAAAA